TTTGACTGGTAACAGATTTTGTCGTCTAGTTTTAATATAACGTCAGTACTTTGTTCTTGGCMTCGTTAAAATAGAAGTTTAAGATTTTGGGAAGCTTGCCAAGGCCGGGTTGTTCAAAGCTGTATTAGCGCTAATCCARGATTAACTCTATAGGTCTTATTAAGAGTTAACCCAGGATTAGCACTAATCGGRCTTTGAACAACTGTGCCCAGAGTAAAAGACCGTATAAAGATTTAATAGGCGCGTATTGTAGCAAATGGACCGTAGATTCATACGAGATCACAGGTAGCCCAATCTGGCTATTAGTGTTGATTTATCGTCAAAATACATTACAGAATAAAAATTTCTTTAATTTGAATATGAAAGGGCCTGGAAACAAGAGGTCGGCCATCTTGAAAAATACCAGAAGGCGTTGTGATTCCAAGCACAGCCAGCCCGTTGCCTAGTACAGAGCRGTATGTTCTACACAAAACACATGCTCAAACAAACTTATAGCAGTTTCTACCTATACACTTTTACACTGAACTCCACTGATAAGAACCTTTCTTAAAATTGTAGCCTTAATAGGTTCTTATGTGGAGGGGTCTTAAAGTGAGAATTTTAGCCTAACAKGTTCTTAAAACCCAGGTTCTTATACGCGGGTTTTGTTCAGTCGTTCGGTTAGTTCGAATGTAGAATCAGATGTTTAGAACAAGAATTTGGAGTTGGCGTCAAATGTGTTTCTTGTTGACTACTTAACCAAAATAACGGGGCCACAATAGCGGGGGTCTTAACAGTGAATGTGCCCYCGACTACCGGGGAAAATGTCTGATTTTAACAGCACTCAAATGTTAAATTCCCCGGTATTTCGCGGGGGTCGGGCGTTGGTGGTTTCAATTGACTAGTGCATTAGGTACAACACTAAAGCTCGCTTGAACCCTCAAAATGTGCCACTAATTCTCTTCTAGTTCAGTCAAAATTACACATCACAACGAAATTCCTTCACAGAACCTTAGTCCGATACCTAATCTCTTGAACCAGTAAGA